ATATATATATATATATATATATATATATTTATTTATTTTATTTTATTTTATTTTTTCCCTTCACAGTATGTGAACTAACGTCTATTCACGAATAGCTCGCAAAAGAAAGGGCAAAAAGATGGACAAAGTTCATGAATGTTACATTTATTCTTGCAATATTGGTTAACAGCTTATTAGGACCTTTTTGTCGTTAACATCATAGTATTTTTAAGTCATTTATATGCTTTGTTGAGACCAGAAATATTAGGTGTGGAATCAAATTTGTTTTTTCTAATTATTCTAAAAGCAAATGAAGATTGAGCGAATAGAGATTTATGTGGAAAAATGTGCTAAGAATTCGATTCCATCACTAGTATTGTTATAGTTCTTAACTTCCACCTTTTCAACTTAATTTACACACGTATTGACAATCGATAATCCTATAATTTATGTGGAAAAATGTGCTAAGAATTCGACTCCATCACTAGTATTGCTATAATTCTTAACTTCCACCTTTTAAACTCAATTTACGAGTGTATTAATAATCGATAATCCTATATTATTTACAAATATCTCCTGAGTAGATGTAAACATATTTCTACATACGATCTAAAATATCCTTATTGCGAATTCAAGTATATAAAAATGCATTGAATTACAAGATTATCTAAATAAATTGCAAAAGGCATAGACAATTATCCCTAACATCTATAGGACCTTATGTTGATTATCAAGTGTGAGCTAAATCTATTTTGAACCTCCCAAAAATAAAATAAGCAAAGTTAAATTCAAAGGTGATCGCTCATTCTAAAATTAATAGTTCGACCCTAAAATCACCTAGAGCGGGTGAATAAGTGAATAATGCGGGATTAAAATTACCAATTTAAAAGCAACAAGTCACCTCTTAATTGTTCTAAATGTTTAGTCAATCAAGTCAATTTTATCATATGTTGAATTGCCAGAATAATAAATAAAGCAGTAAATCACACAAGATTTGTTGATGGAGAAAATTCTTCATAGGATTAAAAATTTCTGGACTAAGTCAATGACTTCCACTATAGACAATAAAAACTTACAATATGATCCAGCCTAAAAATTCCACTAGACTCGCTGATTTAATTCTTACAATCTCCAAGACCCACTAGAATGTGTTTCACTCAAATCTGCTCCCAATCTTTGAAAAGTATCTATCTTCTATGAATCACCAACAACACTTTGTTCTTGTGTTATTCCTGTGCTTTTGGTCCAACACCTCTCAATCTTAAACAACCTCTGAAATCTATTGAAAAAAGTGCCTTCCTAAATATATTTAAGAAGTGGGTGTTTTAAATTATATGATTTTGATGTTTTTTTCAACTTGTAGTTGATTGATCTCAAGATGTAGAATTTCTGATCTTCAAAGAATGTTATAAAGGTAGAAAATAATGATTAATCACAATTTTCACGAAGTGAGGCTTGTGTATTTATAGTAGAGGTATTAGTGTTAGAATTAGATTGTGACTCTGAATTTCGAAGTTTATGACTAAAATTCATATTCCAAACTAAAAGATCTAGAAATCAATATATGAACTTTAGCCACAAAATTCTATCTTTAATTTCAATGGTTTAACATGGAGTCAGTTCTGATACTACTTGCTGAATTTTTATGAAAATTTAGACTTTATAAAACTAGAAATTTTAGAACTTGAAAAAACCTAAATTTCTTTATTTTCAAGATCGTTGATGTTAAATTACCAAGAAAAATTATAAAGTGAGGAGCATACCTTAATTCATTGGAAATGATTCTTAATTACTAGATCTTGATTTCGAATCTTAAATCCTGAATATTGCCTCTTTTGATTCATGCGTTCTTAATATTGATTTTGGCCTCTTGATCCATAATCTTGATTCTTGATATTGGATTCTTGAATTCTTCAATCTTTTTTTTGATTGCGAGTTTTAAATCTTCCTCTTCAATATACTTTATCTAGTATTTATGTATTGATGGGATGATACAGAGAATGAGAAATCGCATATGAATTAGGGACCATAACCCTATATATAGTTTTCATATGTATTTCGCCCATTACGAAATACAATTTTAAAGGAATCTAGTCTCTACGCATATAATCTGGTCTATTCTTTATTTAGATGCTCTAAACCCAATTACTTAATTTTTTTATTAGATCACTTTAATTTTAGGTTTGCCCGCATGGCAAATAAATAATTTCCCAACAATTTTGGCATATTTTAGGCATGAATTGAGAAGCAGGGGATTATACACACACACACACAAGGTCTCTCTGACATTCTGGGAGACAAGGACAAAAAATAGATATACATTCAATTAAAATCTAGGGTTTGAGAGGAGAAGAGGAAGAAGAAGAATAGACGTGAATGATTTCCAAGTTCAAGCCTGAATATTCAAGATCATTTATTCTGTTTCTTCAATTTTTCCAATCTGGGTGATGTCATTCAAATCTTATATGCACTTTTGTATTCCAACATGAGTAACTAAGTTCCTAATGCTAGGATGTACCCGTACTTTGAAGCTCTAATTTAAATATTTTGTTTTTGACTTGAGTATTGAGTTGTGATTGATTATTTGTTTTTGAATTTCTTCATTTCATTTTATCTAGCCAAGAATAGGAGTGAATTAGGAACCATACTGATACGAGAGGTGAAAGATATATTCTAGCTCAAATAATAAATAATATAGATTTCAAATGATGATAGGGATATATCAATGGGATGTTTGGTTTCGAAAATATTACTAGTAAAATTGAACCTATTTCTACATACGAACTTCGTATATCGATACGATAGTTATAGCTTTTTGCATATTAGTAACTTTCATAGAAATATACGAAATACATGAGTAAAAATATGTTCAATTCTACAAGCGAGACATTTCTGAAATTTAGTCAACCCAAATTAAATTGCACATTACGTGAATATTTGTGGATTATCACCTAATAATTTCAGACTTAAAGCACTTATGATTTTTGGTTAGTTATTGTTGTAATTACAAATACAAATACACATGGCATATCATCATTCATTTTCGAAAATCCGACATTTAAGTTCTTTGAAAAAAAAAAATTAAATTGCACATTACGTGAATATTTGTGGATTATCACCTAATAATTTCAGACTTAAAGCACTTATGATTTTTGGTTAGTTATTGTTGTAATTACAAATACAAATACACATGGCAAATCATCATTCATTTTCGAAAATCCGACATTTAAGTTCTTTGAAAAAAAAATAAATAAATTAACTAAGGTGATTCATGAGATACTTGTTAAATTATCTTTGATAGTTAAACTTCTATATGCGTAGGTGATTTATTAGTTATTATTCTAAAATAGTAAATTCTATAACATCTGCCCACGGATCCTTATGAGACTAATTCCTGTTTCCTTACTGGTCAGTTATGCTCGTAATTTTATTTTATTTTATTTTATTTTTTTGGTTTTTGGTCGGTTTTACTAAACTAGAGCATTTCTAATATGCTTTTTGTTACTTTCATTTTCATTCTCTTTATTATAGAAATTCATCAATCTTCTTTTTATACCGTTCCAACAAGCTATCAATGTTTAAAATTTAAAATGAGTGAACTTGACTTTCCAAAATATTCAAATTCTCTCTTTATATGGCCATTGTTTGGTGTAGATTAAAATCGAATGTCTAGTAAATTTTGAAAAAAATTAAAGAAACTCATGATTGAAAAGTTGTGTATTCGATAAAATGTGTTGTTAAAATTAATTATTGATTGACTTAAAATTTTAATTCAAACCAAAGAGGGCATAATTCAAACCAAACTAATGCTTTCACACAATATTTTGCAACTTTCTATTCACTACCTTAGTTTATAAAGAAACAAGCACGAAAAATAATTAGTTAAAAGAGTCGGAAGTAAATAAAATAAAATTAAAAATTGAGAAAAGCGCGGACTTGGATTCCTTCTCTTGCTGATTTCTCTCCCTCTACTAAAGATTTCCCATCAGTGAAGAACCAGGAGTTTAGATTGGTTTCAAAGCCGGCATTTGTTTTTTTTTTTTTTTGGATTTCTATGTAGACACTGTATACGAGGACTATAAAATTTCATCATGCTGCATGTATATATATTTGTCCAACAAGAATTCTAAAAGAAATTAGAATGGCAAGAGCCCCAGCGGTACGTGGAATTTTATAATTGAGAAAATTTTAACCCCTATCAAATAAGCTTGGGAGAGATATATTATGATTTTAGATTCCAATCATTCGAAAATTAAATTAAACATGGATACAATTTGGATAAGTATTATATGAAAATACAAGCCAAGAGCAAGCGGCCCTCAGTCAAAATGACAGCCTCTGAAGATATCATTTGCTAATAAGGGAACCATAAGATACCAAAGTACAAGAATGCAATAATATTAAAAGAACAAACTCATAGGACTGACGGAAGAGGCAAAAGCTGTTAAATGTGGCATTAATTTGTAATCTTGGGAAATAAATAAGGTTACATGCACTTGAAGAAAATGTATCAGGAAAATACATGATGCACTTGAAGAAAATGTATCAGGAAAATACATGATGCACTTGAAGAAAATGTATCAGGAAAATACATGATGCACTTGAAGAAAATGTATCAGGAAAATACATGATGCACTTGAAGAAAATGTATCAGGAAAATACATGATGCA